TCTCTTTCATAGGCTTAAATTAAATTTCTGTTTCTAAATTGAATTTTTGACTCCCACAGTCAGAGGATTAAATGTTGGAGTAAGTTGTCAGGGGAGATGATGGATTCTCTGTCTAGAATAGTAAACTATTTCTTGGGTTAGGTTCCTATGCTGAGATGGGAAGATTGTCTCTCTGGCCCTCTCCAATGTCCAATGTTGTATCTGTTTCCAGGCAGAGGGGCCAGTTAACTTTCCTACATCACTCAGAAATTTTCTTATTACTCTGTAGTTTTTCTGACAAGTGGGTGTCTGATGATAAACACTCATTTTAATTAGGAAACAGTTACACATTACCACAAGAATAAAAGGGATGTTTTTCTTACCATCCTTACTTATTAAAATCTCCCCTTTCCACCAGAAAAAAAAAGGGCCTCAGAACTTGCAATTATAAAGTTTTTGTGGACTAATAATTAGAACTGTTGTTTTATATTTTCATGCTAGGTAATTTCTTATGCAACATGTTAAGTATTTTCATGATTAAACTCATTTAATGCCAACAAACATATAAGGTAGTGCTAACAGTGGTAGAACTGGGATTTGAACCCAGGCGACCTGCCTCCACATCTCATCTACATGCTGCTTTGTATGAGACAAGCTTTCACTAAAAGATGGTGTTTAAAACATGGCAGTATAAAGTCAGTTTTCTGAACCTTTTTAAGAGTTTTAAAAAAAAAAAATAGTAGGGATGATTTCACTGATTTTTCAAACTCAAAGTCCTAAGTCTTATGATTCTTTTTTAAAACCCACAGTAGTCATTATATTGCTAAACACAGTAGGATATTTTAGGAGTTTGGTAACTATTTGAATGTTGAATATTTTAATCACAGAGAAGTATTTTCTGGAAGAAATAAAAACATATCCATCATTTTAAAATTGTTAATGTAACCATTTTACTATCTGTGAAACTATTCTAAGTCAATTATTAACTGCAACCTGAACCATTGCATTTATTTTTTCCAGACATGCTGTTTTGTGTTACAAGCATGTTTTCTGCCATATTTTACTATGTTGTGATTCATGTTAGAAATGAAGTACATTTTTTTTTTCAGGTAATGCATTTCGTGTAATCCTCTGTATGTGATCTTAAGGAAGTTACCACTTCTCAATCTTAGTTTGAAAACTGGTAAAATGACAACACTAATTTCAAATAAGTAACACAAATATTTTTATAATTTCTAAGTTATCTATTTAATTAGAGAACGGTTGTAAGGATTGGCATTAATATTACATGTAAACATTTTCATGTTGACTGGCACTAGTAGATACTCTGATAAATATTATTCCTACTACCTGCCATTCAGTACTGGCATTTGAAAATTTTAAGAATGGTCTATAACACACCATGGAAATGGTTTATCTATTGTTACAGCTCTAAGAACTACTAGATATTATTTGGGTTGGTTTACCCAAATCTAACACTAGAGAAATCTTGGTTTTATTTTACTTACTTTTAAAATTATTATTCTTGTTCTTTCTATTTTGTAGCAAAGAGGTCTCCCTATGTTACCCAGGCTGATCTTCAATTCCTGGGTTCAAGTGATCTTCCCTCCTCAGCCTCCCAAAGTAATGGGGTTATAGGCATGAGCCACTTCATCTGGCCAACACCATGGGTTTAGCAGAATCCATTGGGGGAAAACCTTATAAGTGGGCTAATTTCATTCAGAAATGCAGCCTTGTGTTCTACACAGCAGTATCAGTATCTAGAAAGAAAGATATTAATCCTGGAATGTGTAAGTACATGTGATTTTTAAAATCAGTCTTTGAATTAACTTATAAAACAAATTGACTCTATGAATAGATTTCCCTCCCTCTTTTGGTTACCTAGAAATGTTATACTAGAGCTTATTCAATATTTAACTAGTAGTCTTTAACCTAAAGTTCCAGGTGGAAAAATGAATTATGAGTCAAAAAGACTTAATTATATTTAATCTCTGCCAATAACTTAATATGCCTGTGTAAAGAAGTTGCTTAATTTCCCTGGGCCTAAATTTCCTCACATATGACGGGAAAGATTTTTATCATTCTTGAAAATAAACTTGTCACCTTAAAAGTCTATTACTCTTTATAGAATAGAACTTTTATTATAGGAAAATGTCAGGACACCTGCTAGCAACCCTATTGTCAATTAAAGGATAATGCCAAATGATTGTATGGCAGGCAGAGTTAGGAATGTAGATAGTAATTGTATGGTAGACAGAGTTAGGGATGGATGGGTGGATGGATGGATGGATGGATGGAGAAATAGGTTAGAAATTTATAGAGACAGAGAAAGAGAAGTCAAAGAGAAAGACCATATGTGTTGAGAAGATCATATTTTGCCATAGGTAGTCTTGGTTTCCAATTCTGACTTTCAGTGGGGACTCAGACATATTATTTTATCTGCCTGAGTTTCAAGCTTCTATTTTATATAATGGAGGGGTTATCTCCCATGACATTATTCTGAAAATTGGAGAAAATATATTTAAAGCAGCTAGCATGATTCTGGCCTAGCATGTCTGTATTACTTTCAAATAAACCAAGCTGTTTCTATTCTTAAGCATTCTATTCTTTTTCTTTTGCAGTAAAATAAAAAGAAAAAACTGCAATGTAAGGTAGATATTTAAAAGCTGGTTAATGCTAATTGCAATTTATTTTTCAGCAGCCAATTAAATGTTACATGAACTAAAGCAGCAAACATCGGGTACTTGGAACAGGGTTCTCCCCTGGACAGCAGCCACAGCTGGTATTCCATAGTGAAAATTCCAATTCCAGCTCAATTTGATTACATCAATTATCTATGAAAGTGGCATAGAAATTATAAAATGTATGTTTTAATGAAGTAGATTAGGCATGTGCACTATCGTGGTGAGAATTAGCAGGATAATTCATACTTAAATGTTGTGCTTTTGATTTTTTAATGAGGAAAACACTTGTCATTAGCTTCATGCAGTAAATTTTTCTATAGGTTTCTACTTGATAAGAATTTCCATGAGCTCTTCCACGAGCTGTAGAATTTAAGTCTTGTTTCATTTATTTGAGTGTTTTTCAGTTTGTGATCTCAGTATCACCTGCAGCAGAATCTCTCAAGATTCTTGTTGGAAATGCCCCAGCCAGACACTGAACCAGATTCTTATGGAAGTGTGCCCCCAAGCAATTGAAATTANAAAAAAAAAAAAAAAAAAAAAAGAAAGAAAAACTTTGAAGATTATTTTCATGCACAGTCATTTAAGGAAGCATGCAGAATGTTGGTACAATATAGAGGGAAGATCATTATACCAAGAATCAAAGATCACGGATTACTTTTGTGATTCTGTAAATATCAGCAGGCCCTCTTGGAGTAGCATGAGCATCTAACACCATGCCAACCAGGACTCTTAAGATAGGAATCATTAAACTACTTCAAATGCAACAAACAGAAATTTCCAGGTAATCCAAAATATATGATTGCTAAATTTAAATGTCTTTTTAAACTGTTAGGGCACCTTAAGTGAACTTGCACTCCAAGCTTATTTTCTGTACTGATATTTAATTTTTCTGGCAGATGAACATAGTTAACTTGTTAATATTCAACTCCTCTCTGTGGTTGAAACAATTTAAACTCCAAAGGGAAAGGAGTCAGTTCAGATTTTGATACAGAAACATTCATCCCCAGATCATACACTCAAAGAGAGTAAGCATGTTTGGATGTGTACCTCCCACACTCACCTCCAGTGAAAGCAGAGACTCATAGTCACCAGCCATCATCCATCAATACAATATGGTTTTTTTCCCCCAAAGAAATAGAGGAACAATGACAGAAAAGGGAATTAGGCTTTGTTGGAAGCTGAAAGCACTCTACCTTAAAACAAGTATACATTAACCGGCTCTTTCTTTCTTCAAATATATGTCCTTAGTATTAACTGTAAGCCAGGTATTCTCCTAGGCGTTTGAGATGCAGTAACGGAGACATGCACACTATTTTCTTTTGAGTTGGAGTTTCGCTCTTGTTACCCAGGCTGGAGTGCAGTGGCGCGATCTCGGCTCACCGCAACCTCCGCCTCCTGGGTTCAGGCAATTCTCCTGCCTCAGCCTCCTGAGTAGCTGGGATTACAGGCATGCACCACCATGCTCAGCTAATTTTTTTTGTATTTTTAGTAGAGACGGGGTTTCACCATTTTGACCAGGATGGTCTCAATCTCTTGACCTCATGATCCACCCGCCTCGGCCTCCCAAAGTGCTGGGATTACAGGCGTGAGCCACCGTGCCCGGCCCACACTATTTTCTTGAGCATAAATTGTACTGATAATCTTTCGGTAGTCCGCCCAACTGGTAAATTTGGCTGCCCATAAATGTCCACACTTTCCTGTTTTCCTGCCAACACATATCATTCAGTGTACCAATACAGTCAGAAAAATTTATGAGATAATATAGTATTTTATGCACACACACACATACACAGAGAGAGAGGAAGACAAGGAAGGAGGAGAGCAAGAGGCTCTGTAGCTGGAGCCACTGCTGGGAGCCGGTGGTCTGATGTAAACAGAGGGCATGGCGCCACCCTCGCCAGCTTCTGGACACGCTCTCTCAAAGTGGGCACACTGCTGGCTGCAGTTTTGCTTTTGTCTTTCTTCCTGCGTGCAACACAGCTGAGAGGTGGAACTGGAGCACCACAGAGTGACTGTTTGGTGACCAGTATGAGGCTGAACAGCACACACTGTGTTGGCTGAGCAGAGAGAGGAAAGAAACAAGCATGGGCCTATCACCTCCTGGCTCGCCATCACGTGTGGAGATTACTACAGGCCTAACTGCAAAATTTTAAATTTACACAATGACCAGCAACTTTATGGAGCATATACTGACAATCACAGTCTACATCTACACAAAAGAAATCCAAGGATTTTACATCAATGACACTTATGTCCCATCTTCAACATAGAGTGCCATTTTTTTCTGGGTCTCTATGTGTTTTATAATAAATGTGTGGAGAAGATTTCCAAATATCTAAAGTGGTTTGAGGTTTGAGACATTTTATTAGCCAGATGTTTCATCTCACTCTGATTCACTATTCGGAGTGAAATATATCTTCAACAATGGAAGTCTGCAGACTTACCCCTGAAGCATAAGAAAAAGGCTTTTACTTTTATACTTTGTAAAGTACATATTTTGCATTCATTAAGGTCCTCTAAATAAGTAAAAATAATAATCACAGATTGGTAGGCTTTAATGATTCTCAACCAAGCAGATTATTCCTATAGTGTAAGCACTGATTATTTTATTAGAGAATTTACTTGTGATACTCATAGTAGGTCCATCCCCAAATATAAGACTCCAAAGGGAATCATCAGAGTTATACTGTGCTGAAATCTGCAAAAAAAGATGGGACATTTGGGCCTAGTGATGTCCAGAAGCAGAAGGTATATAATTTAGCCACATTTATAATAGAGGTAATTTTAATAACTAGAATTAAAATTACACTTTTCAGCACTTACAAAATCTAAAGTATCATTATTTCATATTCACTTTTCTATAAAATCTCCAGCATATTCTAAATAAATATTCAATAAGTAAATATGCTCTATCCAACATATACTATAATTGGGGACATACTTCCTGTGCCTAGAGCACTTAATGCCTTCAGCGTAAGCTGATCATTGACAAAATTAGAACACTGGCCACTCTTCATTAGTCATTCTGCCAAGTCTCTATAAATCACTTCGTTTTTAATATAAGCATACTTTAAAATATATTAGTCAGGGTAAAATAGTGTACGGTGCTGTAACAAATAATCAAACCCTGAAATCTCAGTGGTATAACAAAACAAGACATTTAGCTGTTACTCACGCACAAGGTCGGTGCCTCTTCCAGGTGAAAGCTCAGGGATGCAGACACAATGAGCCATCGTTTCTCCATCGCAGCAGGAAGTTTCCACGGTCACTGTGGCAGGAGAAGAAAGAAGCTAGAGAAGCCATTTACTGTTCAGTCTGAATGGGCTGCAAGTCCCATCCTTTCACAATCTATCAGCCAGAACAAATCCAATGACCCTGCTTAACTATCAAAGACCTACAAAATGCTGTTATTACCCTCCAAAACAAAGAAAGATGATTGGTAATTTCCATCCTATCCACCTTCCAAAACTGGTTTTTCTTTTATTTCTCATTGTGCCAATAGAATCAATGGAATGGGACACAACTCATTCTGTGAAATAGAAGTTACCTTGAATTCAGCTTAGTGGGCACAGCATTGCACTTTGATGAGTGTCAGTTTTCCAACTGAAAGTGAGAGGTTTGGGGTTGAAAATTCCTATTGTTCCTTTCAGAGCTGAAATTCTTTGGATATGGCAAGCAGGAGTTTGGTTTACCGTCCTGCATTAAAGGGCAGTGAGGACCCATTTACTGTTGACAAGAGTCTGACAGGCAGCCTCGTACACTTTAAGTACCTGGAAGATAACATATTTTGGCATGCGTTATGGCAGAAACTTACTTCAATATATATTGCCTTAGAGAAATTTATTCTGTTCAGGACTTCAGATCTTATTTCTGGAAATCGAATCCCTCCTCTTTGCTTTCGGCTAGAGGAAAAGTAGCACTCATCTTTCGGGAGACACTGTGTGGTAGTTTGCTGTCAATAACATCCTATAGAGCACTGGGTCTCGCAACCTACCAGTATAACAGCATGGTAGATGGCGTCTGTGATGCGTGTAATATTGGCCTCTTCTTGGAAAGTGGAAATGGTTTTATAAAGAAAGTGCAGAAAGAAAATATTTAGAAAGAAACTAATGCAGCAGCAACTTACCTGTAATATGCCAAAGAAATAAAACATAGTAAACATGCAAAGTAATTTCTTAATGTCGTGAAGATCTGTAAAGTGCCATGCACTGTGGTAGCTCATATCATTGTCACAGATCTGCTATTTCACCTTGTTGGCATGGGCCACAGCTCCTCCAACTCCCATTTTGTCTCACTACACATATTTTCAGAATCTTGGACCAAGTGTTTTTCAGCTCTATAGAAAACGAACCCAGACTCCTTATCAAATGAAAGTATAATGTGCTAATCCAGCTCCAGCTTGTCCTAAAGATACAAGTAAGTTACATGAGTACATTGTTCATATGCCCATGACCAGAATGCTTGTTACAGTCTGTGAGTAAAGAACTATATAAACAATTTACAGGTGAAGAAAAATTGAGCCTGTCTGCAGAAAATGCAACACAATGTGCTTACAGTACCTGCAAGTAGAAAGTTGAAGTGCTACAGCCCCACTCCAGGCAATGCTCAGTATAGGACACTTCCTGGTGGACAGCACCTGGTGCATACCTGGTCATTTACTTTGCCTTCAAGAAGGCATGGGCAAAGGAACCATCTACAATGGACACTCATGCAGTGGCTAATAGTTTGGTAATGGGTGAAAAGGGAATTGCAAATTACTATCAGAAAATTATTAACAAGAAAGCCTGGGAAAAAAGGATGAGAATAGAACTCTATGAATTGAAAGGAAATCTCAATATATTTGTGCCCTATGCAAATTCTTACCAAGGAGAAATTGAAAGAGGAGCAGCATAATATTCAAAAGGACCAGATGATTTTTTTTTTTGAAATGTAGTCTTATTCTGTCACTGAGGCTGGAGTGCAGTGGCGTGATCTCAGCTCACTGCAACCTCTGCCTCCTTAATTCAAGTGATTCTCATGCCTCAGCCTCCCAGGTAGCTGGGATTATAGATGCCTGCCACCATGCCTGGCTAATTTTTGTATTTTAAGTAGAGATGGAGTTTCACCATGTTGGCCAGGCTGGTCTCAAACTCCTGGCCTCAGGTGATCCACCCCCCTCAGCCTCCCAAAGTGCTGGGATTACAGGTGTGAGCCACCATGCCCAGCCAGATGACATATTCTTTTGACGCCAGTTTTTGTTGTTTCTGTAATAATCCCCATCCTGGCCCAATAGGATTGTTATAAAAGTGGCCATTGTGTGATGGGTAGGGAAATAACATTGATTCAGCAACATGGACTTCACTCACTCAGACAATCTAGTTGCAGCCAATATTGAAACCTAACATCATTAAGACACTACTGAGTCCCAATGAAACAACCTTTCCCATGGGAAGGGATTTGGGGAGGGGTTCAGCCAGTCTCTGGAAGCAGGTTGATTATACTGGACTATTTCCATCATGAAAGGGGCACATCTTTGCTTTCACTAACATAGATACTTTCTCTAAATGTGGATTTTCCTTCTCTTCTATCCATACAGTTCTGCTAAAACTGTCATCCATAAAATTACAGAATGCCTTTATCTTGATATTCCACATTGCATTGCTTCTGACCAAGGAACTAATTTTTCAGCAAATGAAATTTTAAAAATGGGGCCCAGAGCATGAAATTTTCATTGGTCTTATGTCTCCAATCAAGCACCTTGATGTCACTGGCCTGATATATTAGTGGAATGGAATTCTAAAGACTTGGTTACCATGCTAGCTAGTGGAAACATTTTGTGAGCCTGGAACAATGCTGTCCAGGAGGTGGAGCATGCTCTAAGTCAGCAACAGCTGTACAATGCTTCCCCCATAGCCATAGTCTTTGGATCTAGTATTAAGGGGTTGAAACAAAGAGTGGCCCTTCTCTCTATTACTTCTGGTAATCCACTAGCAACATTTTTTCCTGGGGCTCTGCTTGTCAAACAACGTTAGTTTTACTCACTAAAGTTCAGTGTAGGGGGTTGGACCCTAGAACAGCTCACAGACATCCCGCCCACTGACTTTGTTTCTGTGGACTTCACCCAGGCCTGCAGCACTTTCACTCCCCGGGATCTTTCTTCAGTTCTGAGTCCTGAACATGTGTGTGTCCAGCTCTGTGGGGAAAGCTGCCAGCTTCTCCTGCAGCTCATCCACATCACCTGGGTTGGAGATGGTGAGAAACAAATCTAAGTTCCAGTTTGTTCTAATCAGTTTTAATTCATATTAATAGGTGTCAGTGTGTGGGTTTTATTAGGCCTCGCTGTATGTCCCAGCTGCCAGCCTGGCTTACCTGTAACCTGTCACCTGTTACCTGTAACAGCCTTGCAGTCAGATACCATGTCCATTACTTTGCATAGACTTCTTAACCAGTGCACAATCACATAACATCTAATTCCTAAAATAAATTGCTTATTGTATGTCATTCATAGAGTAATAGTTCTCTGATCGAACCCTAATAGAAGTTATAACTGGTATTTATTTTAACCTGCCAAACACTAAGGAAACAGAAGTACTACATTATTTTACTTTTCTAAGTCACATTATTTCTCATCATACGGTCTCACAATCTCAGTTGTGTATGAGCACAAAATCCACTACAAGTCTGGGGAAGTAGAACTATGTGGCTCAGAAATTGGTGGAAAAACTAGTCTTTGGCTCATCATGATCTCTGTACAAGATGCCCCTCATCCAGCCCAGTGTGGGCCATTTCAATGCAGTCTGCCCTGGGTTTCTTCAGGCATGGTTCTGAAGAACTTAAACTCTACTCTTCCATTTTAATGGATCATCTTCGATTATTCCAAAAAATAATGGATGTACCACTGCTCGGAAACAAATTGGAAACAGAGCTTTGTTCTCCTTCACTTCTAGTGTTCCCTTCACAACCAATTATTTCTTCATTTATTTTTAAAAGCAAAGCCCCAGTTTGGGTCACTTATGCCCATAATCTGTTTTAATGTGGAAGTTACATAGCCTCTTTATCCCCGCCAACAAATATATATATATATATACATATATATCTATACAAGCACAATAATCTATACAACACATATATATATTTGAAAAACACAAACATATATATATATATATATTTTTTTTTTTTCAAGACAAAAATCCTCTTAATACTGCCTTTGTAACAAGAAATGTTGTATCAAAGCCAAAGCTGATAATTTAGCAATGGAGGTCTAGAAAGCTGTCTCTCATTATTTAAGATTATTCTATGATTTAGGCAAGTTTAAAACTCAGAATCTTATTCTGCATAAATTGGTAAATAGTTGTCTACACAGATAGGTGTTTTCTTACTCACAGGGATTAGTTCTGTCAGAAGAGGCTCCTTTCTGCTTTCCTCTGTTTGATTTTTTGGGAAGAGGTAAAACTCCATTTTCAGTTTGGTTTTTAAATGGGTATGTATCACTTGCTCCCAATTTTGTTTGAGTTAATGTTAGAAGAAATATTTACCTGTTTTTCCTTGAAAAGTTTTGGAATAGGCCGAGTGCAGTGGCTCACGCCTGCAATCCCATGCTTTGGGAGGCCCAGGCAGGCGGATCACGAGGTCAAGAGATTGAGACCATCCTGGCCAAGGTGAAACCCCGTCTCTACTAAAAATACAAAAATTAGCCAGGCATGTTGGCACGCGCCGGTGGTCCCATCTACTCAGGAGGCTGAGGCGAAAGAATCGCTTGAACCCAGGAGGTGGAGGTTGCAGTGAGCCGAGATTGCACCACTGCACTCCAGCCTGGTGACAGAGCAAGACTCCCACTCAGAAAAAAGAAAAAAAAAATTTTGGAATAAAAACATATAGACATCCATAATTACAATGTACGTAAAGCACAAACTTTCTGCTTTGGGACAATGAAAAAGAATACAGTAAACAATGTAAAGTGGAATAAATTTCTTCCCATAATCAAACATTTCATTAATAATAACAATAAAAAAAAAAAAAACCACTGGCTGGGGGTGGTGGCTCATGCCTGTAATCCCAGCACTTTGGGAGGCTGAGGTGGGTGGATCATGAGGTCAGGAGTTTGAGAGAGGCCTGGCCAACAAAAATTAACAAGGCATGGTGGTGCATGCCTCAAATCCCAGATACTCGGGAGGCTGAGGCAGGAGAATTGCTTGAACTCAAGAGGTGGATGTTGCAGTGAGCCGAGAGCATGCCACTGTACTCCAGCCTGGGCAACAGAGCAAGACTTCAAAACAAAAAAAAAAAAGAAAAAAAAAACTACTATTGAAAATTTCACAGGGGCAACTAGAGGGCAATGAGTACTGCCAAACTGAAGCTTTGCTTTATAAGAAGCTGGAGGAAATATATGCAGGATTCTGTTCCTTTAGTTCCTCTTGAACATATGTGTACATTCTAAATCCTACAGAACATTTTAGTCCTGGGTTGTTGCAATTAATACATATGATTAAAAAGCAGCTATATATAAAATAGACATACTTAAATTGCTGCAATTAAAAGTATAAAGAACAAAGTACTATAACATTTCCAGAAAGGTACAATAATCTGTACAACTACACATGCTGGTAACAACATAGTCAAACAAATAAAGAACTTATAAAGCATATTTTAAAATATTGATTAAGATACTTCTAAACATACGATGTACTTCAATCTCTGATTATAAATATAACTATACTTTTCAGCTCTTCTTAGCTGCACAATTCTTCAAACTACTGACTTCAAAAACCCAATATTTAACATGTATTTTTAAATCACCACACCCACTCTTTTATTTAATAAATATGCAACTATTCTTGTTACTCAAGCTTTTCATATCTATTCACTAATCTATTATTAATAAGACAAATCAAAAGAAATAACCAGAGAAATCAAAAGAAACAGCAAACACAAAAATGCCACAATCTGCTTCCTGAATTTCATTGGCTGTGTAAGCATTTCACATCAGAAAATATTTCCTCCTACCTTGCACCTACCAAGAATGTATTATACCTGGCACAGTACCTGAAATGCTAGCCTGAAATAAGATTAGCATGAGAGTATTTATGGCAGCAATCCTTCTTTTTCTGTAATAATTAGGTTTCACAGTAATAACAAAGCTCAGTAAATTACACATGTCCAATGAAATATATTATCTATATGTGTAGAGGGTATAGGAAAATCCCAAAATAAGTTAATACAAAAAGAAGTGAAGTGAGTTATTTTGTCCTGCTGCTATCCTAGGCATAACATGCATTCCTTGGGGGTTGGTCACCTAGAGGCAGGCATGGATTACTGCTTTCAAGAAGAACTGAAGCAAAAATATGTGAGAGAGACCCAAGCTGGTTGTCTCCTTTAACCCCTGTCTCCTCTCATACATCAGGTGGGGAAGCAAGACGGTATGAAGGAGCCCCTTGTGACAGAACTAATTATTTTCAGACTATTATGATACAACATATAACAATAACTGACAACAAAGTGTTCAAGGTAAGAAATGCTCTTGCTATTACCTCCTAATCAATGCACATAATTGACTTAAGGAATCAACTTATTTTTAGCAAAGGAACTAAAACAAATTAAATTTATTTCAGTTGATAGTTGGCTTTAAGACACCATCATATCTTGCAGATTTTTAAAAGGATAAATTAAAAGAAAAGTACCCCCATTAGAAAATAACAGTTCTTAGACTGCCCACTGCTCTAAATTCCAGGAGTTATTCCATCTCTCAAGGTTACTTAAAAGCATGATGTATGTTGGCATGCTTAAGCTGGTAGTCATTCTGTGCTTTTATATGGCCCAACATTAAAAATTCAAATTAAAATGTAAATCCTATAATGTTAATATTGGCAATAGTCAAGAACAAGCTCTGAACATGAGATTTGATGGCATCTTAGATTGTCCTTTTAGTTTTTACTACCTGGGCTTTGCTTTGAGAATTATGAAACAGCCCTTTTCATTATTCACAGAAGTGGTCAAGTAAAACAATTACTTTAATTCAAAGGCAGGAAAAATAATGCATCTTTTTTGGGTAAAACAGGTGCTTTATTTTGATGTCTTGTTATTGTACCAGAGAAATTTTCAGGTAGAATGGCAAAAGTATATAAGCTGTGATGCATGGTATAAGTTAAAAGTGTGACTGTATGAAAAGCAAACACAGGGTCAGATATAGAAGCAGGACTATAGCTATAAACTCTTACTGTAATAATCTATACACTGAACATAAATATGCAGCAGTTTTATGTCTAAGTTACTTAGCAGCCAATGCAAGACACCATAAGATAGAAGAAAATGAAGAACTTGCAACTAGCTTCAAGGCAGGGTTGAGGAGGGGACAGGACATTGAGGGGTAGGGCAGTGAGTACTCAAGGCTATTAGTGGAGGGATTCCAGCGCAGCCATGTGACAAGAGAGGCGGTCAGAGGAAACAGGATGACAAGTGAGTTCATTCTTCCACTACAAGCAGAACGAGAGGAAACTGTATATCCAAATAGGAAATGAGTTGCATGAAAATTAATTTTTGATAGTGGGACTGATTGCTACAAGAAGAGGGAATCTCCCTCAGTAAGGGCTCTCTAAATAAATTCAGAAAATAAAGTCACTAGTCTCATGGATATCACCTAAGGGTGCAGAATTTGATTCACTTAGATTTTAGTACCTTTCATTTCTCAGTATTGTATCTTGTTCCTCTTCAGAAACAGATGACATGCAGATCATAATCAGAAAATAAGCAGGCCCTCTTTATCACTTACATGCCTTTCTGCAACACATTTCTGAATTGTTGGGTTAATATCTCACATTTGAAAAAAAAAAATCCTGCAAAGAAGATATTGATGGCCACTCACAGCTAACTTTTTAGTTATCATGATTAGGAAAAGAGGCTGGTTGTAGCCAAACTGAGAACAGTGACACCATATAAGCTGAACCTGCTCTGGAAAGAAAGAAACAATCTATTATTAAGCAGGCAGGAATTTAAAATCACTGGTTTATATTTCCTGTGTTTTCTTGCCTACTATGCTTTTTGGAAAATTCAATTTTACTTAGTAAAATTTCACTACAAGGTAAGACCTGATGCTTTGTCCAGAGAACTCTCCCCTGCAAATAACTTTTATAAGATTTTTTGAAGGACATAGAATGTGTGATTCACCAGTATCCATTGTCTTCGTTTTCTGGAGACCAGGGATTATGAGAACCACCATAAGTAGT